GAGCTGCTTCTCCCACTTCTGTCTCATCTTTTTTGTGTTATCGATCTTCATAAATCCTTTCCTTTGCTGTTCTCCCATATAAGTCTTGCTTTCAGTGCATATTTTGTTGTGTACTGAATACATATTTTGACTTCATTTGTCATTGTTCACCTCCCTCATCCTTTTGTTGTCCTTTCACTGTTTTAGTCATTGCTGATGTGGGCCTAGGAACTATGGAAGCATGGTCGCTTATAGAGGGATCTTATCTGGGAAGGACTTGTCAAGTTCTGTGTCCTTTTTGCCTACTCCGAGTCCGTCCTTTGTCTCCTTTTATCATGTAATTAAGAGGCACTTCTCTATAGACATTTGGAACACATAAATAGCAGAAGAATGGTTCCTGCCCTTGACTAGTGGGAAGACACAGAGTAAATGAGAGGTTCTCAGAATGTGAACCTCTGAGGTCGTCTTAGGGTCCATGACGCACTTTCATGAAGTCCAGAAGATCACAGTCCTTTTAAGAAAAATACTAAGACATTATTGGTGTGTTTCGTTTTGAGGTTATCAGGTCAAAGTGGGATTGTTCACTTTACTCTAACTCAATGACACAGAGTTTGGCCAATGACCAGTTCACGATGCTGCCAAGGATCTGTGCACTACAGATCATTTCAGAATGCAAAATAAAGAGTATGAATTCCAGATTCTACCCTGCAGCTAAGCTTTAAAACACTATCACTTGTTTAGCTTTGATCTGTTTTTTTTAAATGTCCACATTTATTTGGAAGCAGTGTTAAAATATTTTTCTGTGAGATGGAATATCCCTTTATGCTGCAACAGAAGACAGATCAGATTAATCGCAGTAGCAGCGAGGAGAGTCCAGCAGTCCTAAGAGATTGTATGACTTAAAACACATTTGCAGAAATGTTAATACGGTTGACTTATTTCAGAAATTTTGTATTAGACAGTTATTTCTCATGTAATAGACTAGTTCCACTTTCAGCTAGACTAGTAATATTTTAAAATTTTCTCAATTTAAATTTTTAATACAGGCGGTATTGTTAGCAAATACCAGAAGCCCTTTTTAATACCTTTATGTCGTAGAATTCCTGCATTGTACAGTAAATAGAGTAGTTAACCAATATGGTTAACATTGGAAAGTTAAAAAGTGCTATAAATAGCAACAATGATAAATAAATGAGGAGTGATAAATGAGGATGCTTTGTAGTGTAGCGAGGGAAGTCCTCATTGGAAAGGTGACGTTTCCACAAAGGCTTGCGATGATGTAGCTACGAGAATAGGAAGATAGAAGTGTACCGGGCAGAGGTAGCGGCCCGAACAAAACCCCAAGATGGGAATGTGCGTTGGTTATAGTTGAGGCCCAGAGAGATCAGATGGAGGAGACCATGGTAGGAGGTGAAGTGGGAGAAGTAGCAGGGGCCCGTTTATTTCACCGTAAGCGAAAGCGGTAGCCAGTGGAGGTTTTCGAGCAGGGGAGGAAGGGACCTGACTTGGGCTTTCACGGGGTCTATTTGTTCTTGTACCAGGATCTCGGTTTCATTTGTGTGAATGTACCATAACTCTGGGTGCTGTTAAGTTTAAAAAACATAAATTGGGTAGACAACAGAACAGATATCTGATTCACTCTCTTGTCTGCGTTGTTTCCTTTTCTACTCATCCCCTACCTCACTTGTCACATTTCTCAGCTGTTTGGTATTTGACAGTCCTATCTCTTCTACTAAACTAAGGGCCTCCTGTTCTTAGAGTCTAGGTCTTTCCCATCATCAGATAAATCAGACCTCAAGACAGCTTTGCACAGGTTGGTTGGGTGACTGTGTGAATAACAGCTCTATTCCTCTGTGTGCATCCAGAAATCGAAGTCTGATACAGCTGCTGCAGCTGTGCGTCAGTTAAATCCACACATCCGTGTGATGAGTCGTCAGGACCGTGTGAGCGCTGACACAGAGCATATCTATGGTGACGACTTCTTCCAAAACCTGGACAGTGTGGATGCCCGTGAGTTTGGAGGCGGGTGATGGGGGCAGTATCTTTCAGCCATGACCTATTCTAATGCATTTTCCCCTCCATTCACCCACCCCTGCCGTCTCCCCACAGGCATGTATGTGGCCCATCGCTGTGTGTTCTACCGTAAGCCACTGCTGGAGTCAGGCACATGGGGCACAAAGGACAACGTCCAAGTGGTTATCCCATTTTTGACAGAGTCATATAGCTCCAGCCAAGACTCTCCTGAGAAGCCCATTCCCACCTGCACGCTAAAGAACTTCCCCAATGCCGTTGAGCGCACCCTACAAGTGACCAGCCTTGTGGTGAACAGAGAGGTAGAAGACACACTGGGCACATAGTAAGGCTTAGGTGGCACCTGGTCAGTCACTCAGCCACTAACCTCTTAATCATATTCAGATGATGCCAGCCTCAGTGTGTATAACCTGTGCCTATTCCTCAACCTGTTTCCCTCACCTCCCACAGCAGCTAAACCTTTTCAAATGATTCATGTTTCAACTTTAAAACTTTTGTTTTAGAAACACAGGCAAGTGTTTTATGTAAATGAGTATGTATCTGAAAATTAAACAGTACTGTGTTCTTGCTAAACATAATTAATCTTTAATATCATCCTTGCTCATTGTTTAATAATCTCTAACATCAATTCCATATATAGATTCCCCTCACTATTACCCAAAACACATTTAACAGCTGGTTTGTCAAGATAACTGTTTGTGCACATACATACAGAACAGCGTACATATCCTCTAGGTAGACAGAGTAAACATACCGAGTTAACTGGCACTCAAAACCTAACCAAAATTCCAGCCCTCTTTCAACCTAAGAAAATCCATTGTACTATCAAAGTGATTGTTAGTGCAATCTTTGAGGCTAGGTCTAGTCTAGGGGAATTATAGGGTAGCAGAAGAAATACTTTGATCTTTCAACTTCCTTCTACTCCAAGAGTTGCAGAATAGATGTAATTATATTTGGGCCTTCGTCCCCTTCTCCATTCCCCCTCCATGTATGTGTGGTAGATGCTCTGTTATTCCCTGGCCAACATGCAAGAAGGCCTATACAAAGTTTTTAAAATAAACTTCTCATGACGCTCTTGAACTTGACCTCTTTGTGCTTCAGATTCTTTATCCCTGAAAGGTGGCTGACAATAGTATTTTTCACAAGGCTTTTGTGACTCAAGTATGAAGTATCTACAAGTTGTTTATTCTTTCATATCAACCTCATAGGGTGTAGATATTACTGTTAACAGTCTATATTGGAAATGAGGGTACAGAGTTGAAAGGTTTTATCTTGCGTGGATACTCGAAGTTGAAAACCATGGCAGAACTGGGATCTGAACCCCTAGTATTAAGATCAGTTCACCCAATAACTATTTACTGACCTCATAAGTCTCAGAGGGCAAATCTCTGGCAGAATTTCTGCCCAGTCCCCATGGCCTGATCGGGATCATTCATGCTGGTTTTGGTGTGAATATTTTCCTTTCCTACTGAGGCATAACACAACACGCCAGGGATAAGGTACCTACATCTTAAAAATTTCGCACACTTATACTCATGTGTAACTGCCTCTGAGGTCAAGGTCATAGGTTTTTAAATTGAGATGGTGGGAATTGGGAAGTTAGAGGACCCGCATTTGGGAGGCTGCTTTTCTCTCTTCAGCTTAGCATAGTAGATAAGTCTTTTGAGTTTGCTTTCTTCATCAGTGGTCTTTCTCATGCCTTTAGAAATCCATTTTGTCTCTCATACCCTATGTAATCTATTTACTTTGTCTGCAGTGGGCTCGGGATGAGTTTGAAAGCCTCTTGAAGCAGCCAGCAGAAAATGTGAACCAGTATCTCACATGAGTTATCCCATTGTCTGTATGTTCCTTCAGCCTGTCTCCTACCTACCAGCCAAGACACGCTGTAACTACTGTAACCCTCGGCACCTGGCACAGTTTGTGATTGACCGAACAAATGCTTGAGCCTCATGCTGTTGATTGGGGGTTTAGGACTGATGTTCCATGGAGTTAAGCCCACTCCTGGGGCCTCTGTGCAATCCTGCCCTCATGACCCCTCTGATCCCTGATAGAGACTCTACATTTATGGAGCGCACACTATAGCTGGCAGGCACACAAACCCTGGAGGTGCTGGAGCCCATGCAGCACAGCCTGGTGCTGCAGCGGCCATGCACCTGGGCCGACTGTGTGACCTGGCCTTGCCACCACTGGCACACCCAGTACTCCAGCAACATCCAGCAGCTGCTGCACAACTTTCCTCCTGACCAGGTATTACATACTTGCTGGATCCATTTGTCAGAATACATGGCCTGCAAATAGGGAGCTTGCTACAGGTTGCTGACATGTCTCACTCCCGTTAATCCAGCCATGGCGAGCATACCAAGACATGGAGCTCTAATAAAGTCATTAAGCCAGTGCTTTGTGCTGTTGACTGCCTCTGCCCCCACTGCATGCACTTTGTCTCAAGCAAGAGACTTGTTTTCCATTTCCCTCATCTTCAGTATAAGGTGAGTCACACCGATTCCCATTCCCATTGAGGGTGCAGAGACGATAGGAAAGAACTTCGGGAGTTAAGAGCACAGGAACTAGGAACAAGCAAATCCCAGGTCCATTTGACCTGGGGCAAGTCACGTGATTTCTCTCTGTACCTCATTATCCTCAGGTGTGATGTAGGAGTACTGATGGCTTATTTCATGGAAGTTTCTATGAGGATAAACGGAGATTTACTCAGTTACTAGGTTAATTAAGTCAGTACAGTACCTGGGAGTGTGTAAAGTGGGCGAGTAGCTCTATACCTGGCACAAAACATGTCCCAGGTATAGTGAGTTGAGACCTCAGGGTTGAAACGAGGAGTCAGGTTTGTCAGACCTCTCCTCTCAGGTTCTGCTCCCCAAAAACTTTTCTATTCTCTTAGCTAACAAGCTCAGGAGCCCTTTTCTGGTCTGGGCCCAAACGCTGTCCACACCCGCTCACCTTTGATATCAACAATGTGAGTCTTCTGCCTAGGGTCTCCTGAGGTCGGGTGGAAAGTAGATGGGTGGGAAGGAGCCCAAGGCTCCCCAGGTGAGGATATATATGCTCATCTTTCCATACCTTGTCTTCTAGTCCCTGCATCTGGACTACGTGATGGCTACCACCAACCTGTTTGCCCAGACCTATGGGCTTCTGGGCTCCCGAGACAGAGCTGATGTGGCCATACTCCTACAGTCCGTGAAGGTCCCTGAATTCACTCCCAAGGCCGGCCTCGAGATCCATGTCTCTGACCAGGAGCTGCAGAATGCTGATGCCTCTGTCGGTAAGGGTGCTTAGCCAGTTGGCCTGAAACAACCATAGCACTTCTCCCCTGTCCATCCAAGACCCTTCACTTGTGTTTTTCCATTGCCCGACAGGCCTGAGACCCCAGGCCTGACGTTTACCCCCACTGTCGTTTGGTCTTTGCTTCCTCCAGCAAAAATAAGAATAGTTGCTAAAGGCAGATTCTGTCACGCTCTTTACTTTCTTCCCTCCCAGTCTGACTTTCAGGAGGACGAGTTATTCATCTCCTTTCTGTGAGAGTCTTTACTTTGTTCTCAGCTCCTTTTTCTTCACTTTTTTCTTCTGTGTATGTGGGGACGGAGGAGATACATGATCTGCACTAGGATCCCCTCTTCCTTCATTTCTTCCCTCGTCTTGCAGGTCTCCTCCACTTCCTCTTGTTTACATCTTTACTCTGTTGTTAGCCTTCGTACATCTCCCCTCCTCTCTCTCAAGACCTCTCTTCACCTCTCCAGCTGTAACTATGACCAACCTTCCCAGCAATGAGCTTCCTTTGAGTAGCAGACGGTGACCAGGTAGTCATTAGAGAGGTTCTCCCTCCCTCTCCCTGCTGTCCTGTCTCGTGCTCTGTAAGTCCTCCTCTACGCTGGGTCTTCTCTCTGTATAGATCCTTTTTCTCCCCTTCATACCTCTCTCCTCCTCACCCTATCTTCCTCATTTTGTTTTCCAACTTCGTACTCATGTGCTCTCTGTATCTGGCTGTCTCCTCCTCCAGTATTTTCCCATCTCATTCACCATTCCTGGATTGATCTCCAGCATTCTTTCCCTTGGTCCCCCTCTTCAGATTTTCTCCTGTTTATCCATTTCCACATTTCTCTCCTCTCCTCTGTCTGCATTTCCCCCCAGTGCCTCTTCATGTATTATCTTTCCTATATCTCTCTCCTGTTTCACCCTATATCTTCCTCTGTGTCTCTCTGTCTCCCTCTTCATTCTCTTCAAGGTCTGCTCCCTTTATAGCTACATCTGTGTGACTTTGCAAAATTTTTGATTAAGAAAACGTGTAGGATTTACTCTATTAATCAGTTATTTGTGTACTGCGCAAGAGTGTTAAGCACATTGGCAAATTGTTGTGCAATAGAGCTCTAGAACTTTCTGGTAAATCTGAAACTTACCCATGAAACGATAACTCCATACCCCTCACCCTGGCCCTGGGCACCAACATTCTGCTTTCTGTTACTGCAGTTTTGATTCTTAAAGATCTGTCATGTAAAACAGAATCATGTGGTACTTGTCTTTCTGACTCTAGCTAAGCATAGTGTCCTCCAAGTCCATCCATGTTGTTGTGACAGCATTATTTTCCCTTTTGAAGGCTGTGTAACATTGCATGGAATGGGTGGAGCACATTTTCTTCCTTCATTCATCTGTCAGTGGACACTGGGTTGCTTTTACATCTTAGGTATTGTGAATAGTGCTGCTGTCTACATCACCCTTTGTGAATGTCTTCATTTTAGTTCACCAGTGTCTGCAGATGCTTCTCTCTTCAGATCTCCACACCACTTTACTTCTGTCTTTTCCGAAGTGTTTCCTGCTCTACATTTTCTTCTTCCCACTATGCTTTTGCACAGTGCCTCTTCTTTTCAAATCCTTTATCTACATGAATAACTCTGGCCATCCTGGGCTCCTGCCTTATGGTCTCAGTCTCTGACCTGGGATGAGACCTAAAGGACTGACATTTCACTCCTTCCTTGCAGATGATACCTGCTTGCAGGAGCTCAAAGCCATGCTGCCCAGCCCAGAGATGCTCCCTGGGTTCAAGATGTACCCCAACAACTTTGAGAAGGGTACCCCTTGGCAGAGTAGGATGCACTGGGGTGTATCCTAGGCTTGTGTGGGGATTATAGGCCTGCCACATTGCTCAGTGATCACCCTTGATGGTCTAGGAGAGAATTTGCTTGATCTGTCAGGTACCGACATGGAAAATACTCGCGTGCCAGTAGGCAAGAACCTGTTTTTCTCTCTAACTCTGTCTCTTCTTTCTTTGCTCCATTTCAGCTCACAACAGGATGATGACAGCAACTTCCACATGGATTTCATGGTGGCTGCATCTAGCCTCCGGCAGAAAATTATTACATCCCCCCTGCAGACCGATATAAGGTGATGATTGTCTAGATGTCATCTTTCAGTCATTCCCAGGCTTGAGTCTTCCCACATTTGGCCTCTTCTGTAATGCCTAATTGTCTCTAATGGCTACTCAGTCACCTTCTGTCTCACAGAGCAAGCTGGTTGCAGGCAAGATCATCCCAGCCATTGCCACAACCTCAGCAGCTATAGTTGGCCTTATGTGGCTGGAGCTCTACAAGGTGGTACAGGGACACCAACAGCTTGAGTCCTATAAGAACAGCTTCATCAACCTGGCCTTTCTCTTCTTCACCTTCTCTGAGCCCCTTGCTGTGCCTCATCACCAGGTGGAGGGCCTGCTTGTATGCACACTGTTCATCTTACCCATCAGTGACTGAACCTGTGTCTGTGACATTTTGTGTGTGTTTGCGCGCACGCGCTTGTGTGTTTGTGTGTTTCTCAAATTGCCTCAAAATGCCAGGCTTTGTACAGTTGGGTTACCTATATTGTTTGTTAATTCGTCATAAAGATTTTGGAATGTAGACAAAGCAGCTGGCATGTATTGGAACTAATGTGGAGAGGGCCAGCAGATAGAGGGTATCGAATGGGAAGGGAAAGGGTGTGGGAGGGTGCGAGAAGAAATTAGCAGGGTCTCCGCAGTATGGGGCCTTGTGTTTCCCTATTAAAGTGCCAGCTTGTCACTCATGATGAAATGGGGTCACAGGAGGAACAACGCTCTTTTGAACAAAAGAGCACTGTGATTGATCTAATTTCACACATCAAGTTAACGGATGTGGGTAAAAGCATCTGTGATGGCCCCTGTTATACTCCCTTTTGCTTTGTTCCACAGTACAATAACCAAGAGTGGACATCGTAGGATCGCTTTGAGGTACAGGGCCTGCAGCCTAATGGTGAAGAGATGACCCTCAGACAGTTCCTCAACTACTTTAAGGCAAGGCTCCATTTTTACTCACTACCCCGCTGCTGTGAGGGTGGAGTATGCAGGTGACTAGTACTCTTCAAGTGACACTGTTGTCCCTCCTCCTTCCCACCATCTCCAGAGAGAACACAAATTAGAGATCACCATGCTGTCCCAAGGAGGGTCCATGCTCTACTCCTTTTTCATGCCAGCCACCAGACTCAAGGAACACTTGGATCAGCCGTGAGTTGTTCACTAGGCAGGCTGACGGAGTCACTGTGTGCTGGGGTGGGAGTCTCAACTTCTAGCTACGCCCCTTTTGTTCAGTTTCCCCTCCCTTCTTTTAGCCATTTGTCCTTTCTTGCCTGCTTTCTATCTCCCTGATCCTCTTCTCTCTCACCAGAATTACAGAAATCGTTAGTCGTGTGCCCAGACGAGCGTTGGGCCAGCACGTGCGGGCACTGGTGCTTGAGATGTGCTGCAACAATGAGAGCGGCGAGGACTTTGAGGTCCCCTACATACGCTACACCCTCTGCTGAGCCCTCTGCTCTCCTGGTCCTCATCCTCAGGCTTCTTTCAACACATCCCTAGTAGCTGTGGCGGAAGCTGAGCTCAGCCAGGCCCTAGGCCTTACTTCCTTTTTTTTGCAATTATTATTATTTTTTTAATTTTTAACTCGCCGTTGCCTTCTACTGTTTAGAATTGGAATTCTTAATAAAGCATAGTTCATTGAAGTTTTGGCAAGAGCTCACATCCGTCTGTTTCTGTGAAGTAGTGGGGTTCCTGTAGCCCTGTAAATTCAAGTGATCACCCATCCAAAGTGCTCATCCCCACCCCAGCAGCATGAAATTTGCCCCAAATTCAGGTTTAGGAGACAAAGAAGATTGATTCCTACTGTTCTCCTTAGCGTAGGGATTTGCTCCCTTTTCCTCTTGTCCTCACTAATTAGGGTGAAGTGTGTCACCAGTGGGCCACAGAATAGGGCCATCCTTGCACATGTGTTTAAATCTGACTCAGGTTCTTATCCTACCTTTTTTCCTTCAATTTCTTGCTTTATTTATTTTGAGAGGTAGTAAAGGTCTGAACTTGCAGTAGGTATCTGAACGCAGTTTCGCCAGTGTGCACAGTCTGTGTCACGTCCCTCTTTGTGCCTCAGATGCCCCATATTTAAAATAGAGGGATACCAGGCTGTCAGGTGGGGAGTAAATTGATTGAATGTCCTTCAGGTGCTTGGTACCTAGCAGAGATGTAATGTGTCGCACATGCATTTGCTGTTGTCTCAGAGTTTAGATCCTTCTTTTTTGGAGTTGAGTTTGGTTGTATCCCACCTCGCTTGGTGCTCCCAGACCATTTACAAGCATGGTTCGTTGCTGCAAGGGACCTGAAGTGAAAAAGCTCCAGTCCACCCTGGGTATTAGGAAGAGTTCAAAAAAAAAGAACCTTGCCTGTCATAATGTGTGCCAACCTATGCCACGACTGGTCCAGCTCCAACCCTTAGACACAGTATATGCCCTTGCCTCCTAATGGCCATCTTTTTGGCCTGTTGTTCCAGGGATTCATATTCCCTGAAGATGGACTATGAGACATAAGGAGCAGATAGGCTTAGGCCCGGTGTCTTATTTAATGGTAATGCTAGCTGTCTAGGTTAAATGCAGAGGTTTCCAGCACAGGCACTTTTTTTCATCATTATCACTTGGAGCACCCACACAAATTTGCCTACGAGTTGCATTCTTCTGCTCGCTTTCTTCACTTCCACAGTTCCCAAACGCTCAATTCTAGCACAGTGTAACAGGATTTGATGCAAGTATGGAAATGTTCTGTTGTTGAATACTGTAGGTACTAGGCCACATAAAGCTATTTAGAATTTGAAATGAACCTAGTATGAGTGATTAACTGATTTTTTTCAGGTTAAATTTTAATGAGACGTCTCCATAGGGTAGGAGCCACTGCAGTCATTGAACAGAACTCATCATTCCTCCCTGCACCTTGTCTCTGTCTGCATCAACTCAATTTCTGCATCAACACTGAATTTCTGGAGTCCTGTTTGACGGCAGCACAGCTCGTGAAACCTGGTAACCCTGTTCACTTCTCGGCCCATTTTGTCAAACCCAAAGGCCCACCAGTTTACTTCAATATTTGTTTACTGTTATGCTCTTATTTTGTAGAGAAAGAAGAAGAATTGCTTTCTCCCTTGTTTTAGCTCCCCAGTGCCCTAGAATCACCATTGCCGCTCTGTTTCTTTCTTCGGGGTCTATTCTTTCTGTACACAAGTGTGTGACACAAACACAAAGAGAGCGATACCCAATCAGGGAGATACACATGAAGATGATGTTGGTATCTAGCAGGTATCTAATGGACTTCAAGACCACACATGGTGAGCAGGTAGAGGGAGGGCTGGGGGACTCTCAGAATACTAGGATTGTAGTAGTTATTACTCTGGGTTCTCCAAAGAAACAACCAATAGGAGCTATATATGTACATTTGGATGAAGATTTTGTATGGAACTTTTCCATAACCTTACAGATGTATAAACAGATTTTAGAGACATTTAAGACAAACATATAATAATAGATAGTAACAGCTGGATAGATGTCAGGCGACAGATAGATGGATAGATAGAACTGATGGGTATAGAAATACATAGAGATTTTGGAATAGGCTCACATTAGCAGTTTTCCAATGAACTTAATCACAGGGCACGGTAACACAGACCCCTGAAGGGATAAATCAGTGTTCTACACACGCACTTCCTCACCTTTATTCAGTAGTACTCCAGTTTCCCTTAGATAGGGTCAATCACCACACCAGCACAGTAACTTCCATCTTTGCCAGTTGACTCAGGAGCCCAGGTGGCTGGGTGGCTGTCTTAACGTGATTCAGTGAAATCACGTGGTCTGCAGGTGGAAGCATTTCTCACTTTGGAAGTAAGCTGTCAAGGCTGGCATTGCATAAGGTCACATAACAAGCAGCAAATGTCAGTCGGTCACTAGGGACAATGGTGAATGCTGCCACTTCCTCTTCCACCTCTTCATTCCTAGACCCAGGAATCCTGGTTGTGGCAGAAGCAGCAACGTATGTTGGAGGTATCAAGAGCACGTATAGCCTCTTGAAGAACCTGGTTCCAAACCTGAAAGGTAAGATCACCGAATTTGCACTATCACTGGGTCTTCAAACAGTCATTCCACTGCTTCATCAGGCTGCTTGCTTCATAATTGTGGAGAACATGGTGAATTCCATGAGCATGGATCTCATGCCTCACTCCTTCTGCTATACGGTGAGTTGTCTAATTTAAAACACAGTTGTGTTGACCACCATGACTTAGACGTGGCCTCTCCATGAAGCAAGTGTTGAGCCTCAATTCACGGCTCCATGGTGAACCTCATAAGGTTTACGACGACCTCACTGGATCTCCATGAGGAGTTTACTCCAGTGGTCTGGGTTGGGAGGTTATACCGATCCAGCAATGCTAAGAGGCGCCTGAAAGCCCCACAGTGAATGGCGTCCCCTCCACATTTTCACCGATGCTATCCTCAACCCTCCATGTGGCATGATTGTTGTCTGTCATGGGAGGTACGGGAGGTACTCCTGATACATATGGTGAAAAGAAAAGTGTTGTTGTTGTTGTTGTTGTTCTTGTTCTTGTTGTTTGTAACAGAAGGTATAAAGTCTGGAGACTTATTTTATAGGGAAATGAAGGAAAGTCGTTTGTCTCAGAGATGGTTATTGCTGAAGGAGTGAAAAGAGGTAAACTGAAGGAATAAAGAAAGTATGAAAGAAGATTTGTGAAGAAAAATGCTGAGAAAAAAACTTTTATGAGGAACAGGTTGGAAATTTAAGTGCCAAAAGTAGGCCAATGCAAAATTAGAATTGCATTTAATGTTTCTTAGGTTATTGGTCTGACGATAATGTTGTGAAAAGGTTTTCTGAGTAGAAAACAAGGATTCTGTACTTTATCAAAAGGTAATTTCAGTGTTTTACGTCGCCTTAACCAGGTGTCTGAGACTTAAAGAATATTCTGAAACTGGCTTCCGCACCAAATTTTCAAAGGAAGCTCCCTGCAAACATGGAGGGAGTTTCTTCTAAGCCAACTGTATTAAAATGTATGTTGAAAAATTTTAAGGGACGTTTCTCAGAGGATTATGGGTCCAGCTGACTTTGGGAAAGCTTTGTACTCTTTGTGAGCTCAAATTGCCTGCCTTTGGTTTAGGTTAGCCCTCAGAAGGGACTCTAGACCTCCCCACTGTCAGAGCTGTGTACCGGGTAGTGACAGGGACCCCTGGACATCCAGACCAGTTTCTGTACATAGACTCATGGTTTCAAATTGCTACTGTAGTGCCTCCTTGGGTCCAGTTCTGCGCGAATAGGCAGGAAGAGTGCAAGGTACTTGTGGTCCAACTGGCTAAGTGGAAAGACAAGGTGCTAGCAAAAATAATCCATGAAGGGGACCCTGAGGAAGAAACTATCTTCCCATCGCTGTATATGCCAGCAGCTCGACCAGCCCTTGCACAGCCACTCTACCCACAATTGCTGGACAGCCCTTTACTATCATGCCTTTGCCACTTCAATGGCTCAAGCAACCACCAAAGCTGAGGCCACCGAGCCTCCTCTCGGCCATGCAACCAGTTCAGCAGCCTGCAGCCCTTCAAATGCCCCTCCAAGAGGTGCAAGTTCCCTTTAAGATTGGAGAAGAAGGCACACTCCAGCCGGGCTGCCCTGTCTTCAACTATCAGCCATTCAGTACAACCAACCTTCTCTACTGAAAGCAGCACACTGCATCCTATTCAGAGAAACAAGCAATAATTGATCTGCTCGAGTCCATCTTCCATACTCATCAGCCTACCTGGGATGACTGCCGTCAACTCCTCCTAATTCTCTTTAATACCGAAGAATGGCACCGGATTCATTGAATGACAGGGATGACTTCAAGGACAGACACTAGAAGGTATACTAAACACTGCAGCATGGGCCTCAGGGGTTGTGCCTGACACCAGGCCCAAATGGGACTTCAATGTACCACACAGAGGGACTCTCTCAACAGGTACCGGCAGGCCATACTGTAAGGGGTAAAAGTTGGGGCTAGGAAGCCAAAATAAATATGTCAAAAATGGCAGAGATACTCCAAAGGCTAGAGGAGTCATTCACAGAGTTCTGTGAGAGACTATGTGAGGTGTCCTGGGTGTATACCTCTTTTGACCCAAAAGCACAAGAGAACCCTCACATGGTCAACACGGCATTTGTGGCCCAATCCTTCATTGACGTCCACTGCAGGTTTCAAAAATTAAAGGGTTCTGCTGGAATGACTGCCACCCTGCTGCTGGAGGTCGCAAATCGCATCCAGGAGGCCCAAAAGGTAGCTGTCAAATGGATGAGACAAAAGGAGTTCCTGCTGGCAGCTGCATTAGGGGACATGGACCTAGCACAGCAGACTGCTACTCCCACAAGGAAGGGAGAAACCAGAAATAGACCCCTACCTCATCATTACCAGTGCTCCAACTACAAAGAGACCAGCCATTGGAGAAACAAGTTCCCTCATTATAGGGAAGTGCCTGAAAGGCCAAACAATTCAATCAACCTCATAAATAAAAAGACCAGCCTGAGCCAAGAGCTCAT